ACTCAAACTGGTTTGCCTGTGCCAGCCACCGTTTCGCCACCATCGCCTCTCCTCTAAGAGTCTTTCTTTAAAGGGCTTTCATCTGATAAAGAAATGAAGGATCAAACGACGGATATAGAAATCATAACCAAACACCACATGCGCTAATGGCGGTAGCATCAGACACAGGAGTGGCATTTTCAGATGAGTGTAGTGCCTTTGCGAAATAGTGCACATGTACCTGTTATACGTCGTTAGATGCGTATTTTAAAGAGCTTTCATATGAATTATAGAAATGAAGGATCGAACAAAGGGTATAGAAATTATAGCGGAACTGAACATCCGCTGATGGCAGAGGCAGCGGACACAGGAGCGGCGGCATTTTCGGATGTGTGTAGCACCTTTGCAAAACACTGCAAATGTACCTGTTTTACGTCGTTAGAAGCGCATTTTAAAGGGCTTTCATATGAATTATAGAAATGAACGATCAAACGACGGGTATAGAAACTATAACGGAACTGAGCATCCGCTGATGGCGGAGGCATCGGACACAGGAGTGGCGGCATTTTCAGACGTGTGTAGCACCTTTGCAAAATATTGCACATGTACATGTTAAACGTCGTTAGAAGCGCATTTTATGGGCTTTCATATGATTTATAGAAATGAAGGATCGAACGACGGGTATAGAAATTTTAGCCAAACACGACATGCACTGATGGGGCAGGTGACACGGACACAAGAAGCAGTGGCATTTTCAGATGAGTGTAGTACCTTTGCAAAATACTGCACATGTACGTGTTATATGTCGTTAGAAGTGCATTTGAAAGGGCTTTCCGATACACTAAAAGTATACATATTAACCCTACAGGTATTACTGTGATGGTTAGATTCCAAACTATTGTACTTTTTAGTTCTGTCAAGCATGTTCATTCCTGTATAGGTCAACTATCTAATGTTGCACAACAACATATTACATATTTCCAGAATCCCACATGAATGATCTTGCACATGCACTATAGATGTAAATATTAACGCCGCCGGTATAGCCGGTGTACAGATTCATCTGAATTCTGCCAATCTATATCACGTCACATACATTTTGCAGTTCGCACATTAATACTTATATAGCTCTACCACTGAATGTGCACCATGTGCGTATTATATGTATGTCTAAAACACGCCTTAAATGGCTTTCAAACGCACTGTAGAAATGTATTATCTGAGATGATGTGTAAGAGTAGTAGCCGTTATATCATGACTGCAAGATGTTGGCGAAAAAAATTGCACCTTGTAAGTCTCTGACAATTTACAACGTGCCATGACAATTATGGTACTGAATATTCAATCCAGATTGAAAGGAGGGAGTGTGACATGTTATCAGTGAAAACTTGATTTCAACAATGTTGGTATTACATTTCACTTGCATTGCATGCTGTTGCTCATGCATTGAATATCTCCACACAAAAACCATGCTATACCGCCAGATACAAAATGTAAATAAATTATTCAGAAAATGCTCTGTTTCCTTAATTCACAGAATTATAGGTGTATGAATTAATAGTTGCTTGATTAAGTTGCATATGTTTATGTACATAAGTTCTAGATGGAACTGATTTGAAATTGCCTTCAAGCTTGAGAACTGGGAAAATGCTTATCAGTGAAGGTCTTTCCTTCAGTTCCAGTAACCGGAAGTTCTTCCCTTATGGATATCAATTTCACCTTGGTTGTTCACCCATACCTTCTTTAATCAAGTCTGCTCACCTGCAGCTCATTTGTCATCATGGTTTTCTTGTACGACAGTTTGGTCCTGAATAAAGAGAGATCACAACTGCAGCCGAATAACATCTTGGATGTCTCTGCCCCTGTACCTTGACAGTGTTAGTCACACTATCATCTTGTCGCATACAATCCCTCCATTGGTGGATGTCTTTGTTAGGGAACCTAACTTCCTGTCAAGAAATGACACACAGAGGGAGAGAGACGTTACATCCTTTCCAGGATAAGATTAATGTTCAGGCACTGGAGTCCCATATCCAGATACCACGAGTCTTAATTCCGAATCTTTGTTGGTGGAAGCGGAGAGGTCATGTTATGAATGGTATAACCTGACTAAATTTGACAACCGAACATCACCTATTTATGGACACATTCAACACATGATGGGGAGATCATATGGACAATCTTGAGTTTCAAGGTCATGAATATTATTCGTAAAAGAACTTTCACATAACTGCATATTGATGTACGTGTCTACTCCAGACATAATATTTTATGCGGGAATATTCCTTCAGACTGAGGAAAGATAGTGAGATCCAGAAGTATTCAACTAAATAACATCACTATCAGATAGGCTCTGTGGACTGACCCGTCTGGACATGAACCAAATGGTCTTGCTCTGGGATTAGAAGAACTGGAAGACCAGATGGCTCTTCAAGTTGATGCCCTTCCAATGGATTAGACTGGCATTTGGCTTATAGATGTCAGATTACATCATCCATAGAATAATTAACAGTGATATCTATTGATTCTATATTTCAGTGGTTCAGTCACTTGCTGCTTTTGTTGTAAAGAGGATAAGGCCCTTAGCTGTGGTTCAACATAGATATTAAAATTGACATGTTTACTGTGTTGCCCTTTTTCGAAAAATGGTGTGGAATTGAACTACAGTCTGTTGTTAACTTTTTAATTTTCAACATCTTTTCTGAAACAACATGGTCTCTCAAGCAAAGATGTTGCATTAATGATCGCAGTTTTGGCATGTCTCACAATGCTCACTGAAGTTATTGTGACTCACAAAGAACAAATAGGATCGATGTTAAACTTTTACTGCCTCAAATGAACTTATTAAATGGAAAGACAAGTGTTTCAAGGTGTGGTAATGATCAACACTCCATCTATTATATGGTCTCTGTATCCACTGATGTATTTCTAAATCAAGTGACCAACAGGGAGTTATGGGTCTATATTATTTCCTATTTTACCTAATTTTTAATAATATGCATCAATGTGGCCTTATTATATTGTTGAGTTGCCTTCATCGCCATGAATAAAGCAACTGAACTGTTGATGAGCACTGTGAAGTTATTACTACAGTCTGATCCCGTTCTAGATGATGCTCATTCAATTTCAATGCAGTCATCCACAGAGGAGAGTTTGGATTTCTTTGCACATGGGGGAATCTGCACAGACCGGAGCTGAAGATATTGGGGAGAGTTTGTCATTAAACGTAAACCTTTGTGCTCGACTGTGACATTGTGGAGGTTACATTCACTGTTGAAGGCAAGCTACTCTTCATTGACGTAGCCAGCATGTTTTTCTGGCACCCAACACTGCCACTGAGGATGTCACTGATATTACGGTGTTGCAAGGATGAAATTTGACTGTAGCAGTTTACACTCTGCATGTTACGAGAACCTGATATCTGCATGATATTGGTTGGAGGAATATTTTCATCAGGCAGTTTCTGAACATGGAAGTTTCTTGCTGAACAATTTGTAAAGTTCCTGTTTACGAAAGCAGCAATTTTGACTTTCATGTCATAATAGAGCTGAGTTTACTGAAACCTGCAGGTTGACTTTTGAATCAGGGGAATTTGATCTATAGATGGTTCTTTAGTGTTTGTGGCAATATAGAAAGGTGTATCTGGACTTTAGTACCATGAAGAACGTAGGCTTGAGTACAGCCTGTACATGGATACTGGACATTACACTTATCATTTGTCGCCTATTCTTTGGTGCGTGTTACGAAATATCCAAAGGATTATCCCCTTAATGGCATGTTTTCGACTGCCTCTCAGTGAATTCAAGAAATTCTCTACCACTAGTGACACTAAGGATCCCAAAGTGAGTGGTGCTGTTCCACCACATGGTGTTCAAAATGGATTCAGGATTGTGAGGATCATGTTTTGTTTCATAGTTTGTTAATGTCATCGTCAGTGAACGATTCAGCACAGCAAGGTAGGTTACCCATATCTTCTCATTTGTTTTGTTTTAATGACAGTCTTTAACTTTCCGAATTCATGATCATATTGATCAGTGATGAATGCTAATGCTTTGACTTAAGGTACCTGTAAAAACTGGACAACACGTTGCAAACTGGAGATGTTTCATAATTTCTACCATCTTCCTTTCTGAGGCTAATAAAATAGGTATATAAATGATGTACATTGCAAAACGTAGTGTGTTTCAGTTCTGATCGTCTTGTGCAAATTTTTGTCAATTTGCAAATGATCATATAATTTTTCAGGGTCTGGGAATCGATCCTTATCGTTAGAATCACCATGTTCATCTGTTCATATCTTAAGTCAGTAGGTAAATCAATCTCACCACAAACTGGCACTGACATTAATGTGTCAGGTATTTTTGCAAGATGATACCTTGAAACTTGTCGCATCTCCTTGTGAAAGTACAATTGTTGTACATTTTGTATGTTCTAAGGGGCGCCACAATGGAGATAACAAGCCCCTTGTCTTTACCATTGATCTTCTCGTAATTGTTTACACAGATTATTCTTATTGTTGAAGCCATTTTGAAGTCGTGACTATGCATACTTTGCAGCACTTACAGTAGTAGACGACAAAAGAAAAGAAAATAGATACATATTACTATTTATTCTAAGTTCGATTTATTTAATAAATACATATTTACTTAACAGTCAATCACGAAAATATCAGGTAGTTGACAGGTATACAGTTATGACAGTGTTTGGCACGAGTAAGAGGTCTGTGTTCAACTAAAGCATAAGTAACGTATGAGTGAATTTAATCAGGAAAGTAGTGTGTCACTAGGTCATCACCATGGAGTAGCCAATCATGGGCTTGAAATCAATCTCACACAAACATTTAATACCAGTATTCTCACATGGGTTTCTCACCCAGGAGTGTGTAAGAAAAAGGGTTGCTCTCAGTGAGTCAGTGCATCCTTTCCCCTTCCATTGGTCTATTCTGTTATACATTACCAGGTCATAACATATATTATAGCATGTCTTGAGGTTATGAAGAATTGGTTTCATTTTGTTTTCAGATGATGTATGAATTTATATACCACTGCTTGTACCAAGCAAATGAGGAAGGCGCAGAATCAATTGCTTTTCCTGCCATTGGATGTGGAAAGTTGGGCTACCCAAACACAAGTGCAGCAGAAGTTATGTTCAACACTGTGGAGTGGTTCTTCAATACTGAACAAACACTGTCACTGAAGAGTGTGCATTTTGTTCTGCATGAAAAAGACAAAGGCAACATTAAGGTAACTGAAAGTTTTCAACAAATTCAAATGTAACACACTGTGTACTATCAGTCTTGGATGTCACTTTTAAGCTCACCTTCCCATTGTCAGTGTAAGGTTATTTTATGGGTTTTCATCCATCACTTGTCCATCAGCACCTGAAATCTCTTCTCCAAATCTACTGGACTTCACATGACATGCTCTACATGTCAATAGTTACAATAGAGTGACCTTTCGAGGAATAAGCACTAGTTCATGAAGAAGAAAAATACAGCCCTTGTGCCAATCTTTTTTCAGAAACCACCAAACATAATTTTGAAAGTTTAAAGAATGACTGACTGACTGAGTTTAGTTTTACGCCGCTTTTAGCAATATTCCAGCAATAGCACGGCGGGGGACACCAGAAATGGGCTTAACTTAAAGAATGATGTCATAGCTACATTAATAAGAAGGTAGTTTGTAAAAATCAGTGGAATATTCATTTTGTCTACTGTATGTTTATAGTACTCCTCTAACATTCTCTTATCAACCATATATATACAAAAGTGCTTATTTTGCATGTAATTGGTTCACTTTCAGGGTCAAGGTCACTTATGTGATTTCCTTGCAAACTTGTCATATTTAATTACTTGAGATATTTTATGTCCGACTTCTCACCTAACCAAAGCTAAGGTCATTCAGTTTTAAAAATGTGTCAAAAGTATTTTGTGTACATGTTAGTACATGTATGTATGTTTAGAATTTGATAAAATTGTTGCATATGATGGCTAGGTCTGGGTCTCAATTTTGGACAATATTCTTGACATGTATTTTTCCTGTGGGATGGTGACCTATAACAGTCGCCCCAAACTCTTCTTGACCCAGTAGATGAATCTTTGGATTTTCAGCAATGAGAATGCCAACTTGTCTCACACTGGTTCCCTTCCGACCCCACTTGGATTCTCCAAGGGGTCCAGCATGGACTACTTGTCTGTGTCAGGGGTTTGACCAAAATGAGGATGATCAGGGCTTACAACTTACACAAAACCTAGGGGATTGGTTCTTCAGCAATTTTCTACAGGATGCTAATAACTGCACATATGACTTCATTGGTCATCTCAGGGCGGTGGGGTAGCCTAATGGTTAAAGTGTTGGCTCGTCACGCCGAAGACCCGGGTTCGAATCCCCACATGGGCACAATGTGTGAAGCCCATTTCTGGTGTCCCCCGCCGTGATGTTGCTGGAATATTGCTAAAAGCGGTGTAAAACCAAACTCAGTCAGTCAGTCATTGGTCATCTCAGAGATACCTCACCTTTGCAGTGGACAATCACTGCTGTGAGTTCCATGAACTCCGAATCTAGCTTGCATGAAATGCAGTATCAGGTAAAGTTGCCTCCTCTACATTCCAAAGATCATTCTATGGATATTATTATTTTCTAACTGCTTGCCTTACTTATCTACTCTTGTTCTTATGAAGCCCAGCGGGGAAGAAGATCCCTCTTCAATTTCCAGGAAAAGGAGCAAATCTTCCACTCACTTCAGAGTTCAAAGGATCTAGTTATCATTCTGATAGCTGCCCCCAACAATATCCCAATGTTATATATATTCAAAGGGAAGCAAGTCCCCTTCTCTGCCGATAGAAACTTTTCAGGTTTTTACCTTGGCGGACAGAAATGACATCAAAATCAATATCTTAGAATAGTTGAAAGACAATCATTTTGAGAATGTCAGCAATATTACCTGACCCGTTCTGTAACTTTTGTGACTGCAGAGGGAAATTGATTTTGTTACCCAAGTGAAATGAATACAAAAACTACACCAATGTGAATTTTAAACATATATCTCAAAGATTCTCAGAGATAAGAATAAAAGGCTGATTGTCATCCTCTACTACTTCTCCTAAGATAGCCATGACTAACCCAATGAGGAAGGTTTTAATGGCAGTGTGATCATCTCCTAATCCCCAGCCTCATCCTGGCCTGTACTCGTGTACTGGATGATGACTCACTTCAAGCATCAACATCAAGTTGTTCATCAGATTTGTTCTCCTGATTTGCTTGTACTGTGAGTGAGTGTTCTATAGTGAGTTCTGAGTTAGGGGATTATGCTCAGCTGGATAATTTGGATGATCGGTGACGATTGAGATCTAAGACTCATGCCTCAAAGAAAGCAAAAAAGCTTTGTTTGATTTCTAGGGATTAGTCTCAAGAACAAAGTAGGATATCCTTTTAGGGACCAGTCATCATCAGACTGCACAGTCAGGGCCTGCTCTGTGACATGTCTTTTTGGCATTTTTACAGGTACTGGAATTACCAGCAATCCTGTCCAGCTAGCACAGCCCAAAATATGCTTTAATCCACTCGTGTCATGATTCCATAGGACAACATAGTCATGTGGTACATCAAAGAGATGGATCCCCAAAATCAGCGTCACTTATTCGATGACCTTCTTGTACTGTGCACTTGTTGACTCCCAAGTTCTCAAAACTCTGCCACATACATTCAGGCAAACCTGAGAAGATCTTGGTTACAGTTGGTCTTCAGCAACCGATGCTTGTCGTAAGAGGCAACTTACAGGATCAGATGGTCAGAATTGCTGTTGCATTGATCGATGCTCATGCTGTTGAGCACTGGATTGTCTGGTCCAGACTCCATTATTTACAGACTAGTACCACATAGCTGTAATATTGCTGAGTGCTGCATTATGCAACAAACAAACAAAACCACATTCTGGCATAAGGTTTCTTCTGCAATGGATGAGAATTTTCTACAGATCCCCGGAATTCCTTGGAATTGATCATGCTGGGGTCATTCTTGTGAATTGTCTAGACCTTCTGCCCAAAGACCCACAGCCCATTTTCCTCTCTTTTCACTCATACCCATTCTCATCCCAGATCATTACAAGTCATCAACTTTGTTATGTCCTTTTAGGGGATTCAGTGAGTACTATGTTGGTCTCCACATGTAAATAGTGACGTTCTAATTTCTAGCAATCTGCAGAGACCTCTAAAGCATGGTATATATTAAGTATGAGAAACAGAAAAAATTCAACAATTTATGTCCAGGGTTGATACGTTTTTGTCATGTAGATTTACCTGATTTTTTCTTACTGAAGTTCAAGTTTGGATTCTAAACAGGAATTCAACATGGCCTTCTCATAGCATCTTTGATTTTAAAAATTATATGAAAACAAACCTTCAGGACTTAAGAATGAAACCTGATGGGTGTAATGGTCACTGTATGTAGTACCAAGTTCATTCAAGGCATCAAGATCCAAAATCAACTATGGCTTCCAATATCCATAATGGAGTCACACCTCAGACCTTTACTGTTAATCAGCCATTGGTGTACAAAATGTAAGCAATTTTGGTGTCATTTGGTTTATGGAAAACATGTACCGTACATTTCAAATCTTTGTGCCTAAACGCCTGTTCTGTAATGGTATTTGTTGACATTTTACCTGTTGACGACAAAAGGAAGCAGGTTAGCAAGAGTGCTGTTCATAATAAAAAAAATTATATAAACAAAAATCTTTCTAGCTTATTGAAGGTTACTGCTACACTTTACTTATAGGGTTAACATATTTTGATTTTAACTCATCTTATGATGATTTTTATGTAAGCATATTTTAATTATGGGGGCTATACGGGAAATGAAAAAGTATATTCTTTCTATGCAGGTACAGTGGAATCTGTCTATTGTTACGGACTGGCCTGGGACCGACTCATTTCTCTGGATTATAAAGCTGTCTGGATTAGTCAACTTATGGCCATTACTATTAGACACTGCCATGATGAGCTCTCATAGCAAGTTGAAATGTGATGAAGCTATACAAAGATGAAAGTCTACATGTTTGTTGTAATCTGATATCTCTGCTTCAGGTTTTCAATGCAGAGAAGATGGCAAGATCATACCATGTGAAGAGTTTCACAGAAGGTTAGGAATGATTTGTGTTGTTGTTTTTCATAATACCTACACACTCATTTGCTCCATAGAGTAAACTTAGCACTTGTATTTGCATACCACATATGCATTCAGAACAAGTTTTGTCATATTTACACCCATGAAGATCCAGGTTAGAATTGGTCTTCAGCAACCCATGCTTGTCATAAAAAACAGTTAAGGGGATCAGTTGGTCAGGTAACATTGCTGATGCATGTCATCATATCCAAATTGCATAGATTAATGGTCACAATGTCAATCAGTGGATTGTCTGATCCAGACTCTATTATCCACAGACCGCTGTCATATTGCCAGAATATTGCTAGTGTGGCATTAAACAACAAACAAACAAGCAAATCATGTTTACATGAAATTAATGTACAGGTTTATTATTTCTGTAGCAAACAATTTGGGGCAAGATGCAGTCAAAAGCTGCATCGATATCAATCCAAACATATTCTCTACTCTTCAAACAGTGTAAGTACACCTTGATTAAAGGGTCATTTAAAACAGGAAATATTGTCAACGAATACATCATTTAGTTGTTGAAACATTAGTCTCTAAACATTGCATTGGTGCAAGAAAGCAAAGATTGGCTCAGACTTTTGTAGCAGATCTGCAGTATTGCTGATGACTTCTGTGAGAAATAACAGATTGTCAATGATCATGCCCTAATGTGTCAGAAGGTGGATTGAACCTGTTGAAACCACACATCCCATAGTTACTGGGAACTAACTGCACTGTGCAATGTCAAAACCCACTTACACAGTTCCCTACAGTCTCTCGCACCATCCCTTCAACATACCGGTACCTTTCACCATTGGCCACTCTTTGTTTATCCGTCTGCTATACGTGTACTGCTATATATGTGTCATCACAGCTACAAAACAGTATATGTCCAGATTCAGTTTACACAGTATCACCTCCACATGTCTAGTAATGGTGCTCCTAATCATCACCCATCTGGACACTTGCCACAAAAAATCTGTGACAGGCACCGCATTTTCCACAAGACAAATGAAAATGATTGTTCTCTTCTCCAAAGAAATGTCTTGGCATTCATCAATCATGATGAAAAAAAGGTTCTACATTTTTTCTTGAGTACCTCAGTAACAACTGTTGCAATGCTGTTTTGAATCTTTGTAATTTCATACCGGTAAGTTTATTGGCTTTCTCATTGATGTGTTTTCCTTGACTTTGTCCTCAGTTGAGGTACAGTTGTATTCAAGTTTTACTGTTTTGAATAACTTTCTTTCTTCAATTTAAGATGCTTCAACATCTGAGACCAGACATGACTGTGGTGATATCATACTGCAGATTATTGGGAGCTCCTTAGACAAGTGTGAGGAAACATCAGACGGTCTGCTGTGTTTTTGGAATGAGCGCCAGCTTGCAGGTATGTAATGTTTGCTATGTACAAACCTAGCTTACTTTATGTTTCTCTGGTGTGAACTCTGCTACAGCTAACACAGTAAGAACTTTTCTCATCATATGATTATGACAGATATCTAAGATTTTATACCTGATTTGCCTTTAGAGACGTTTTCTGCATCTTTGAGGAGCATTAAAGGTCAAGGTCATTCAGGATGATCAAGTTCTCATGAAAATGACATCCACCATTCTAAATCATTCTTTGAAAACAATAATCAATAAACCATCAAGCTCACAGGACTCTGTATCATCACCTTATTTGGACTTGATTGGACTTTTCTGATGTTTGTAAACAAACATACTTATTCTGAAATGACAACAAATGGGCCTCTTGATCAGTTTGATTGTCATTTTAGAAGGTGATAAATAATATAAAGGTATGATACTTTATGGATAATAGCTTCTTTATTATATTATAATACAACATTTTGGTATAGATTCTTATGCCGCAAGACTCTTGCTTGACAATGGTATAAAAATCTATACCGAAACATCACATCATAAGATAATTTTAAAGTTGTTATCCATAAAGTATCATACCTTTCTTAAATGGGCCTCTTGTAAACATGGTGTGTGTTACTTTGTTTTGAACAATTACATTGTCCCACAACTGCAACCATGAGGTACATGACAATATTGCTTTACAAATAAAAAGAGCAAATCACTCGCCCTCCATAGGGCTTCAATGACAGGATATGGAGGGTAAATACTTCAAATGGAAATAGTTTTTCACATTTTAGGATATTTTGTCAGTGTAATCTTTATTTATCTAAATGTGTAGACATATCCCAAATGGCCCCTACAGCAGTTCATTTTAGTTAATACATTCTTTACACCATGCTCTTGACTGAATATATTTTGATCTTACAACCAAAATCAATTAGTAATGTTATATGTTTATTAAAGGTCACATGCAACCAAAAAATCAAACATAATTAAAACACAATTATCACATATTCATGACATATAATATACATTGCTGGTTATGAAAAAACATATAAACAAAATTATAAGCGTACAATCGCAAATCAAAAGTGCAATATTGTGTACTTGGGTTTACTTCCCAAGAAACGAAGCAGCCGGGATACCGAACCCAGTCAGAGCGGGTGGGTGTGCACTCAAGTGTAACGGCTGGTTCATTTGCAGATGCCCTGACGGCTCATTGTGTGTGTGTATATAGAGATGTTGGGTTTTGTAAATACATGGTCACTTTTTGTGTATAGCATTTTGCAATCAACAGACATCATAACATGTCATGTGTTCAAGTATCACACTTGCCTGTCTGTGTAATTACATGTGACAGAGACCGAACTCGGGCCATAAATCAATGCATTTTGTTTATGGTGTATAGCCTGATTGGTGTTAAGTTCAAATTGCATGTGGTCAGTGATAGCAGCTGTGTATTGAATATTGTCATTAGCAGACAGGCAGGCAGACACACAGGTGTCAATAAAACAAGACATTGAGTTTTGTCTGTGACAATGACATATCTATATCATATCACAGTTAGAAATTCTGTCAACGCTAAATAATGACATTGCTTTTAAGTATCGAACTGAGAAAGTGACTCGGTAAAAAGAAGGTGTGGTGAAATAGACAAATGAAATTATATAAACAGTTAATTTACTGTCATAACATATAAAAGCTCATACGCAGTGAGATATCAACAAAACATTAGAAAATAGCTCACACCAAAGCCTTCACCGAGTATTCACCGGACAACCCGCTTCCAAACTGCGCGAACCTATTTCACTGCGCACATGCTATGAGCGCAGCCCAGCTGTTGAAACCCGTTTTCCCCCGAAAAGTCGGGGGGAAAATTGGTGAAACGTTTGAACTCCGATTTCGGGCGGTTTTTTTCATCGCGTTATTTTTCAACTTTATAAGTTGAATTTGCATTTTTGACGATTTGTTTCGGTAAGTCCATACCGAAAGGTATCAGAATCTGCAAAGTTGTGTTTTACGTTGCGTGTGACCTTTAAGGCATGTTATGTTGAATATTTAGGTTAACATCACCTGAATAATCATGTGTAGTTGAGAAAAAGACACTACTCATATTTGAGTACGATCTGAAATCTGTTGCTGATAAACTGGCTACCAAGTACTGTTTTAAGAATATCAATCTTGCTGAATATGTAAATTATCAAATTGATGTCAAGATAGTTATTTGTAGAATGTGTTTTCTACCACATGCTTCACCAAATGTATTTTTCAGATCCTTCTCAGCACCCCACTGTTGGTAAACATTTGAAACAATTTGAATGGCACAGATATGGTAGGTTTAATCCATAGAATGTGTCTTTAAGAAATTAGAATGGATCCTTACCATAGACTGTCTCATAAATACATTGCTCTGCACAGCTGTAGATAATAGGGATTAGAGAAGTGCCAAAGAGTTCATCATTCATGTTGCATGAAAGCTCCATAGACCAAAACTCACTTGGACTGCCAATACAAAGCATATTTACAAAACATGTCAAAAGCAATTATATTTCTTGTTTGAGTCTCGGTTTTACATACATAATAATACAATGCTCCCTTTATTTTATAGAACTTCTATTCAAAGCATTTTAGTTAGTATTGTCCATTGCTGTATGGGAGCCTGATTGTTCAGTTCAGTTCATGGCCCGTCTAAGGTATTTGCAAATGGATAAGATGAACTCATCACTTAATGATTGTTAAGGTTTAACAGTCACTCGTCCATTTACTGGCATTATCAGATAATTCATAAGCAAGATCCAGATCATCAAATAAGGAACATACAATGGAAGCCCTCTAAACCGGGCATTCGTTGGGACCAGCACAAAACGCCGGTATAGAGGGTGTGTCGGTTTAGAGAACTTTTCCCTTTTCAACCTGAAAAAAATCTCGTCAACATTTAATTCTGGAACAAACTGAATAGATTTCTCTTTCAAAATAGGGCCAGAAATTGGCATATTTTTAATGTGGGTAGTCAAAAACCAATCATGCGCCAGTGTGTTAATTTTGTCAAATTTACTGTTTTCACTCACAACAAATGATTTATAAAACAAGTGACACATGTCACTCACCAGTTTACCTGCCCTAATTAGGTCTAATCCTTATCCATGGTAAACCACTGTGTTGTTAATACACATTCAGCCAATCAGCCAATCAACAGGAGAGCCGAGATACTGGATGCCGGTTTAGAGAGCATTAATTACTGTACAAACAGTCAGTTGGGCGGTCTGTGCCGAAATACGGAATAGACTAACACCGGATTAGAGGACGTGAAAAGATCATAAATTAACTAGCTATTGTCAGGACCAAATTCTAGTGCCGATATTGAGAGCATGCCGGATTGGAGGGCTGCTGGTTTAAAGGGCTTCCACTGTATTTGTATTTGAAATGGAGATTAATTTCTTTCCACAACCTAAATACTCTGTTTGAAGGTGAGATGTTTAAGTGGGTTGAACTCTTTACTCACGAAGCAGACAAACATAGTCAAATCTTATTAGAAATTGAGAAAACATTTGGATCCAGTTTTGTTAAAAATGACATTCTGATCTCAGCCATCACAAAGGTAAAAATTTTCCATGTACAACTAGAATTTTCAGACATACAAGTAGGTGGAAGGAAGTGATCAGGACACTTCACCTGTAGAAAGTATACTTTCACACTGAAAATCTTAAAAAACTACCATCCTGCCTCCAATGTAATAGATCTTTCTCTCCAAAATTATGGAGAATGCAGTCAGTGGTCGACTTGGAGGTGAAAATTTAACAGGATTATAACACAGACACGACATTTATCAACCACTTATAATTCTACCTTTGAATGTTACTAGTAATAAACCTTGGGATACATTGCCAGACTCAGATTTCATTAATCAAAATATGATTGTACTTAGAATGTTGTTGTCAGCTTATGCCCTGGACACCAACAGAGTATCTTGGGGAACTCCTTGGTCATGGGTTACATGCTATATTTCCACCTCCTGTAAATCATGAACATGTCATTTAGTTCCTCAATGCAATGGCTGCAAACCATCCCTCAGACAACTCTAATTTTAGTCTGATTACTTGACCCTGAGCATACTGCAACTAACCTACAAGAGACTGTAGACATTATTGACCTTATTTTCTCTAGTTTGACTTTTTGCATAGACTCGTATATTATCAAATTCATTATTCAGCTACATTTGCATTTCAAATAAGCATAAAATGAATAAACATACGGAAACACACTCAGTAAATAATCTCTATATATTTTGCAGTTTTTCCAACTACCAATATTGATTTATTGTCCCCAACCAGTATGTGAGATTCAATCTATCATGTTCAGATAGTTTTAGAAAATGAGATCATACTAAATTATGATCGCCCCTCTAATAATAGGTCAAAGTTATAGGAGTGCAAGAGAAACATCACAGATATCTTCTCATTAAATTTATAGTGTTTCATTTCATATGACATTCCAGCTACAAATGCACTCTGGATGTGCCACTATTCCTGTATTGTAAGACGTTATACTTTGCTCCCTTCATTACAAGTGTTAGGTCATATTTACTAATACTTGGGTCTGCTTTTGTGATTCTTTGGCATTTCTCTGGGCTTGTGCTGAGGCAATACAAAATGAAACAATACAATATTAAAGACAATACAATATAAAACAGTTTTTGTAAAAATAAATTATCAATCCTTGTTAACTATATGGTATAATATGTACAAAGATAGTAATAATATTTCTGCACAAAATGCTCAGGTATCATTTTGTATTGATCAAATTTTTGTTTTTTAATCTAGCATCAGAGTTCACAAGAAACGGCAACGTACTAACTAGTGGTGGTGAACTACCTGCTACTATGATCATTCACACCTTGATGAAATCTGACTTCAAAACAGCTCTTTTCACTGGTCTCAAGTCAGCTGTGAATAATCATTGTCAGACAGTACAAGTTGAGCTTGCATCAGAAGGTAAGTATTAACCTAATTATAAGTCATAAGATGTCATATCTTTACAAAGCAAAATTGTATGATTGTTACAACATACTGTCACTTTATGCCACTTGTGCAAATTGAAAGATATATTTCCTTAGATATATTCTACAGTATTATAAACATGTTTTAAGCTAATCCAGATATAATAGCTTCCAACCTCCAACTGTAACAGGCAGGCATAATACACTGTACTGTAATAGACTGCTATACCAGTAGTTGAAGAGGAATACCATTTAATTGTCAATGTTTAAAAGATGCATAAGATAGAATGTGTTCCACCATACCTATATATTGGTATCCCGTGTAAGGATAATTTTGTTAGACTTGTGTCATCTTAGGATGATGTTTTGATAAGTGTTGCTACTTTTTCTTTAGAAGGGTATATTATGCCTGTACATTGTGCAAAAATGGTTCCATAGCCTTCAAAGGCAATAATGTATGATTATTACTGGTTTTACCAGCATCAAACAAAAGGTAGAATTATTCTGTAATGTGGGCCATGGCCTTATATACTGAAATAAAACTGTCTGTCTGAGTTGACCAATGATAAACAATCAAATCTGATACTTCCTCTCTTGAGCTCACTAAATTCCAGTGTTATTGATCTTAAACATGATATTTATCATGATTGTTATTTAAATTATGAATTGACATTTTAGCCTATGACATTGCACATGTGGCAAAATTATTCCTTGTGTAATAACCTATCAAAATCATTCCTGTGCATGCAGAACCTTAATTACATTATTGCTGTAACTCGGTATTTTGGTTGCCATTGCACTTTAAGAAAACCTTCCAATTCATTGTCAACAGAAGTCTTCCTGTCAGTTGTCCATAATTATGTGTTCCAGTATTAGGATCACAGTTAGGCAGACTCCTTCTTGTGCAAGTTGTGAAAAACCATGCTTCTTTCCTCTATGCATTAGAGAGAACATCTGTATCTTTTCTGCCATGATGGTGTTCCTGTCTCTTTCTTGCCTCAATAAAAACTTGTCAGCAGGTCATGATAGTGAAAGTTCTGCTTTCATGAGATGCTGGAATATGACATGTTCAGTAGTTAAAAGCTGCGTTAGTACTCATCCTTACCACTGTCAAATTTCACTAAAATGGCCATATCCTGGAAAAATGCAAGAATGAAGCAAGAATGAAGCTGCAAAGAAAACATTGATGTTTGGTCTTGGCTTTGTATCATGTCTCTCTTTTTATAGATGCCTCACCTCTACCTACCACTCCTTTCCTGAGTTGTCCCGTCCCATACCTTTCTCCATTAACATGTTTGAACAAGTGTTCACAAAGCATAAAAAAACAATAATGTTGAACTGAAAATTCAGCCATGTTGGCTGAGATTGAATCTTAAAAAAACACAACTTGGAAGCCAAGAGGCCATATGTAGGACCATCTTTAGCTCCAGTAGAAAGACCTGTGTCATTTTGTACATGACTGAAGCAGGGTATTAAGTGGGTATTTTTATGCAGCCACCAAAAGCTCGAAATTCAAATGCAATGAATATCTAGCTCCTGAGGCACCAAAACTAAATTTCCATCAGACACATGATTCTCCTGTATCAAACACTCCCAAGATCAAATTGAAATATTACAAGTTGCACACTCAAGTCAAGGATAACATCACCAACTGAGGAATAGAGCATATTTTTCCTCTCTTGCTGGATTCCTACAAAGTGATTGTTTTGGATTCTCTGATCCTTATCAGGACAGACCAAGTAGGGTTCATCTGTAGTTGTAAGATACTATTGTAAATATTGAAGAAAATTTATTGTTTACTCCAGCATGGATGGCCTCAAAGTTTTCATGTCAACATCTCAAGTGATTCTAGAACTATCTCAGGGCAATTCCAAAAGATGGTTATGGTGTAATGTTTCGTTGCCTCTCAGGTGTTTAAAGATAAACTCAGCCAATTTTAGGAGGAAGTCCACTAGAATATAGCCGAATGTTGTCAAAGCCTATCAAGGAGCATAGTATTTTAAGTAGGTCATATCAGTCCAGTGAGTCAACTTTTGCAAAGTACTTTCTTCGTAATCCAGCTCTTGGTTCTTATGGATTTTCTCATTCATCCCACCAAGTTATAAACTGGCCTTGTTTAGTACATTGTGTAAATAGGTACAGGGGTTCCAGCGTGTTGAAAGAAGACTCCTTTAGAAAACCATTTCCTACAGACACTGACTGATCAAAGAGGTATTGTATAATCCACATTGCTCCCAATTGATGGTACATATCCTTACTCGGGGACCTGATATCTCTTCTGGACATAAAGAAGGAGACATGCAAGGACTCTTTATCTTTGTGGACTTGAACGTGCTTGTTTACAAACAGCCTGTTAATTGTTAGCTCCTGGGGGCATCAAATTCAGGATGGTGAGCCCACATGGACTGTCCAGAACTGCCTCAAAGAAAAGACAGGCAATGGTTTTGGAGATTAAAGGACTAAATGTCAAAATGGCACCAAGAACATTTTTTAGCCGTGCCATTTCTGTATTTACCGTGCCATGGCACACTAATATATGGGGTATTTCGAACCCTGCCATGGAACGACATTGACATACTAGGTGCTTCCATGATTTCAGAAAGGAATCCATACATATTTGAATGCTGATAAACTCATTTCATTATTTAGCAATAAATTTCAAATCATCATGGTCATTATCATTTATTCTAAAAACATGTGGGCATTCTCGATTTCTGAAAGGCACACCTAAAATATTTGTCTTGTGCCCTAAGGCACACTTAGGAAAAAAGTATTTCTATTCCTGCTTGGATCGACACATCTTAAGACATATGGTTCAGAAGAGCAAAATCAGAATCACTCTGTGCATGTTTTCTGGAAGAACCATTTTTGCAACTTCCAGAAGTTACCCTACAGGAAAAGTCAGGGAAAGCTGTTTTCTTCCAAGCAATGTGTGTGATAATCAACATTGGCTTACTCAAGACTTACTCTCGTTGAGAAAAGCAACTCCATTTGCATTTTACAAGGCGACCATAATCAAAAAACAAGATCAGTGAAAGTGAGTTTTGTAGTAGTACAGCATTATGGATCCTATTTCAACATCAGTTAGGATGGCAAGATAAGATACAGTCTTGTATATCTGTTTACTTGAATTGACAGGAATAATAGTTATTTCGGAAATATTATTTTGTAGTCATATAGTATCAACATATATACTGCCAAATATGAGGTCATTTAAATCAGGCATCACAATATGTCCTGAAATCTTTAAAGATTTTAGACAAACCTTTGTATCAATTTTATACAGCATTATATAATTTATGAAAAATAACTGGTGTGGCCCTCCCCAACTCCCTAAATGTTTACATCACTAAATGAAGTTAAACTGTGGGTTCATTATGTTTTCATGTTCATTATGGGTTCATCACATTATGAAACTCTGCAGAATTTAGCATTTGCTTAAAATTTTCAGTATTATGAAAAGAATATGTAAACATCAATATCGATATCATTATCTTTAGACAACATGTTGCCATTTTAGCTTCATATCCAGGTGAGCTACAGTGTGGTGGCACTACTTTTGACTGATTAATCGATTTTTGAAGTCTGAGTTTCAATAAGAAAGTACTCTTTTTATTTACAGATCTGTTCGATAACTGTAAAGCTTTGGTTGCTGATCTACAGGCTCACTTAAAAAGTAGACATATCACCAGAAATCACTTTTGTCTACTGACAGTTCTGATACCCAATCCAGAACACTACAAATCAGTGGTGTCAGAACTGAAAGCTGCTTCCGTCGGAATACTTGGCCGTAAGTGGAATTCATTTCAGTTAATAATCAGGGCTATGCACAAGCAAACAAAAATGAATAGCAATATATTGTGACACAGATATTGATATTATTATACATAATGCATCAGGAACTGAATCTGATTATACATTCAGATTCTATTTTCTAATTACTTAAGTAAATATTACAATGTCAAATTCAGCAATATCAGTTGTGAACATTTAGTCACTATTAGAGGGGGAAAAACGTGAGAAAAAGTTCTCTTTCCTGAGTCCTTTTATATTTGTATACTTTGAAAGGAAACATGGTGTGTTGATTAATTTTTTTGTAGATTTTAGGTTTAATGATTCAGATAATGCATCCAATTACATTATCTTCACATTATGAACATTTGTGAAGATGGACATGTTGTCCAAAGTGAAACATGTACATGTACTCAACACAGCTATTCAACAATAACCCGTATAGTTATTTATCATACAACTGGAGGTACCCTATTCAAATCCAAAACTCATTTTAAGCAAAGCTCCATTTCTTAAAGACATTTATGTGAATATTTAGGGCTGCATTAATCAAATTTTGAATTTTACCCGGACCATGTTGATGATCATGTGCACATCCTGAAAGATACTTAAACAGTGGAGTGGCGTGAAGTGTCTACGAGAAATTTATAACAAGTTATGAATAAAATAATCATTGTCCATATAAAATTATGCAATATGATTTCACCTCAAAATGGAATATCCCTGACTTTTTTAATGGTATGCAACATAAATGTTTCCAAATTTTGCTTGATAGTTGGGCTGGCAATGCCTCAAAGTTACCAGCCCACAAAATAATTCACTAGTCCAAAAATTCAATGTAGAAACTAAGCGAAAGATTGCAAAATTGGATGAGAATAACATATTGTCGGCATATATGATTAACATTTTTATCAGGCCATAATCATGCATAACTGTCCAGGGAACGTGGAGTGGGGGACTATGAATTCAGCGTCGTACGTACATCCCGAACTGTTGTAATCAATGCCTTCAAATTTGGTGACGGCCTACATTGGGGGATCACCCAGGCACCAGTGGATTTTGGTGATCTTGACCTTATTTTCATGGTTGCCACGACACTTTGACCTCTTTTCAAACTCTTGTTAACTTGATATCTCATGCAATGTTGTACCCAATATCTTCAAATTTGGTGACAGCTTACATTGGGGAATTACGCAAACACCAGTCAATTTGGGTGACCTTGACCTTTTCTTCAAGGTCACAATGACACTTTGACCACTTTGCAAACTTATCTAAATGCGATATCTCATAAAACACTTTGGACACTTTGAACACTTTTCAAACTCTTGTTAACATGATTGTATCCAATATCTTCAAATTTGATGACAGCCTACATTTGGGCGTTACGCAGACACCAGTTGATTTGGGTGACCTTGACCTTTTCTTCAAGGTCACAATGACACTTTGACCACTTTTCAAACTTATCTAAATGCGATATCTCATAAAACATTGCACCCAATGTCTTCAATTATGCTGACAGCCTACATTGGGTGATTATGCAGACACCAGTCATTTCAGGCATCTTGTATGTGACCCAAAAATATAAAGTTGTAAATATGTTATGCCTATTCCATCCTCTTAGCAGTGGGGAACATTGCCATATTAGTGGCAAACACTTGTTTAGAAGTGTATTAAAAATTAACAAGTCGGAGGGAGTGATATATTTTAAAAAATTACCCCAAGAAAATTCACTAGCCAGTTGGGCCAGTGACTGTGGTGATAATATGATGGCATGGCAGACCAAGAAGAGAACAGTACACTTTAACCACTCTTTGTGTCTCAATCAAAAAGTACTAGATTCTGTTACTTTACTGAGAAACGGTAATCCCAAATATAATATGTTACATCAACAACAATCAATACAGCAATAACAGAACTTGCAAACACTTTAATATATTGAGAGTAAAATCTTATTACCTGAACATTTCTCATGCACCATGATTTATGGAACAATGTATGGGATAATAATACTTCCTTTGAGCAATAATATTTGCTGTCTTCACAAACTTGGGGCGGTGGGGTAGCCTAGTGGTTAGGGCATTGGTTCGTCATGCCTGAAAACTTGGGTTTGATTCCTCACATTGGCACAATGTGTTAAGCCCATTTCTGGTGTCCCCTTGCTGGAATATTGCTAAAAACGGTGTAAAACTAAACTCGCTCACGCTTCACAAACTTATTTTCATCTACTTCAAATGTTACCTATGAAATCAAAAGCAGAATATTACAAATAATGTATCTTTAGATTATAAAGGCTCCTGTAGTTAATCAATGGATTATTTCAAATCAGAAGTATTCTGAAAAAAATGAATTCTCTGTTTAGGTCCTTGGCCATTTGGCCGTGAAGAAAATGTTCCAACAGAAGATCATTCAGGAAGCACTGATGATGGGCCACAATTAGTTGTATCAGGAACATCAGAAGAACACTGTAAGGCAGCCTACCAGCAAGTACTTGAAGGAATTAAACAGGTTTGTTATGTACTTGTGTGTGTTTGCATGTGTGGAAGGATTCCTCTTTGATGTACTTATCTCAACATGGACAATGATGACAATCCAATGTAGCATCAGTAAATAGGGAAAGATTTTGATATTAGTATAGAATTTTTAATGTGACCAAGAATACTATAGTATGAGTTGGCCCTAATCTATCCAAAGGGAACTTCTAACAAGCGGCAAAGGAATCCACAGGAAGCATTGGAGATGCTCATTCAACAAGCCATTAAACTGTCCATTGGAAACTTTTAACAAACACTAAAAGGAATCCTCTCCATGTTGCGTGCATGCGTCAATTGCTGAAATTCCAAAGGAAACAGTTTAAAGCACTAAAGAATTCTGTAAAAGGCATGGCAGGGGTCCATGCAACAAATGCTGAAATGATCCAAAGGAAACATTGTCTTAAGTGCTTCCAATATACTACCTCTATTGCACCATATCCATTTTTTCTCTAGTGGTTGGGTTTAAGATCTTGGTTGGTATTTGTTAAACACCACACTCAGCAATATCACAGCTATATGGTGGCGGTCTGTAAATAATTGTCTGGACCAGACAGTCCAGTGATCAGCAGCACGAGCTAGCATCGATCTATGCAACTGGGATACGATGACATGTGTCAACCAAGCCAGTGAGCCTGACGACCTGATTCAGTCTCCTCTTTCGACAAGCATTGGTTGCTGAAGACCAAACCCAGACCTTAAGATCTTGAGAGGAATAGATGTACCTTCACTGTCAGTTATCAGTCTGTCCAAATGCAGATATTATGTTCCTGTCCAAACATTTTCAAGGTGGGGAATATGTCACTTTTCTGTGTGAGGTCCAGTTGACAAAAAATAAATTTTCAAGCAATTTAGATCCACAAAAATCAGTTAATCTTCTCACTAATAATGTCTTAAACAGTTACTAAATTAGTATTCACATTTATGGGATACATATTATTCTACGTTTGAAGAACTGGAGGATTTAATTCAATAAAGTATATAATTTGGGATTCTATTGGGAATGGATCACACACACCCCATCCCCTACCAGTTTTATCTCCAAGGATAAATCAGTGAATATATTTACAATCATTGGCCAGCCTGTTACTGACATGGAGTCATACTTCAGAAGCAGGGAGGAATGAGATCAATGAAATTGTTTTAGGATTTTTCACATTTGTTTAAAATGGCAGACTCCCACATCCTGGCCAATTGCCTTTCAGAGTAATTCTGATAGAATCATCTGTCCATCAAGATGAGTTTAGTTGGATCATGATGGGAGTTGGACTCTGCTCATGTAGATCTTTTTTCGCCACCTCCCTGAAACAAACTGCAGGTCAAGAATATATTGCAATCCTATGCCCAGTAAGAGCCATACAGTTTTATCTTGCCTCGCATTAAAGCATCTTCTTCTGATCTTGCAAGACTATTTCGGACAACTCAAAGACTACAGTAGGCCTTGGCTATTAGGCTTTGGCTGAGACCTCCATAATTGCCGGTTATCAAAGAACTCAACTATCCACACAGAACTTTGGCAACTGCAGAGTTATTGAGATACTAGTACATGCCAGATCACTTGAAGTTGCCAATGGAGTTTGCATGACTGTTAACGGTGACCTTAATAAACTACCACCAACATGGTAAATTTATGTAACCAGAAATGAGATAATTACAACAGGAAGTGATGTCACACAGATGATATGTGAAATATGGACAGATAGAAAGGTAACTGGAACTGGAGATGATGTCAAATTTAACAGAAGTGACGTCACTAGTAAACTGTTTTTCAAGGAAATATGGAGCATACCATTTTTTTTTAGTATACCATTTACTTCTGTCACTTATCTGAGATTATTAGATGCAACACCGTATATGACCGTCTATAAGACGACCCCATGGATAAGACGACCCCCAAACTTGACCCTTAAAATCAGTGTCAAAATGGTATGTTTCGTGCATAAGTCGATCCCCCGCGATGGGGTCCTAATCGCGGCAAACACAGACCACAGACAACTGGCAGTTACCAATAATTATAACTTTGGTCCACATTATTCAAAGAATTCACTGTCATATATATTGTGTCTACTCACGGATCGAAACGAAGTGTAGTTGACAGAAAATGCATAATATATTTTGCTTCTCTAAATATCATATTTATTGTAGCAACAAACTGGCTTGCTTATTTTACCCCATTCAACAATCACGAACTGATTACCGCCTCGTTTTCCATTGACTGCTAGTTTACAGTAACATCGGTAAAAATGTGTGAATTTAAATGGCTTCCGTATTTTACCCCATTCCATGTGCTTACCACGTTCATGAGGGTCCGTATAACCTTAGTGTTGATTATATATATTTTACATAAAAACTGTAAATAAAATTACACAATGCTAGGATATATTTCTTTGGGTTAAATAATAGTATTCTGTATTATATTTTACTGATGACTGCGTCAGAATTCATCCCGTTATATTATTGTGCATGTTTGAACTTGTTCGCCGGGAAACGTGTGCACAGCTGATTGCTATTTCCGGCTTTGTGTACGAGACAAATACGCACGGTAATCTTAATCCCTGCAAATAATACAATGCCCAGCAAAAACAACTTATAACTTAAAAGGTAAATAATCTTGTCTAGTGATGTTTAATTGCAAATTTGACGTCTCTACTGACAAAGTCGTCTTCTGTTGTTTGTTCACGCGAAGTGATACGATGTTGTTTTCTTACCCCTGGAAAAAAGTTTGATGAAAGCGTAACCCATGGATAAGACGACCCCCTTCTACAGACTGCTTTTTTTGGTCCTCAAAATTCGGCTTATAGACGGTCATATACGATATGTTGCTGAAAACGTAGAGAAATTTTATGTATGTTAGACATTGCTTCATCAAGACAATGGATACTTTACATGAAGGGTTTTTGTTAATATAATTAGAATAATTAGTTTTTTAAGATGCGGTGCTCTTATATCATCCAAACTACAGTACACAGACCAGTGTATAAAATAAGGCCCGTCTGAACGCCCAAGCTGGACTAGATTTCTGACAGACGGTCTAAATTTACAACCAGCCAGCTTGATGGTTTGGTAAAAATTTAGAGAACAAGTTCCATACATCAGAGTAAATTCACCATATCTTAAATCTATTTTTCAAATTAAATGTCACATTTCGACTTCACAATTACTGTTTCAACATTGAACTATCATATCACAAGCACAAAGCACTGCGTTGACATATGTTATCACTAAAACAGCGACTAAACAATAACTAAAAATTTAGTTATTTTCTTTGGATTGTTTGGTCTGGTTAAATCCATTTTGGGCTGGTGACATTTTGAAGTTACCACTTCTGATGTCTGGCTGGTTTTTTGGCTTATTTCATACACTGACACAGTTGCAATCACCATTTACGCAATGGGTAAAGATTTCTGTACAACACATTCAGCTTTGAAATTATGTGATGAGCAATATTAACTTTCATCTTGTTTTGCCAAGTAACTTTACTGACAAAATTAATGTCATGATTAATAATGTCATTACATTCACATTCATTTTGATTGTTGCAGATACATGCTGCAATTGAGAACTCTACGTCACTAACAGACAGAGATGACAGTTCCTCTGTTGATTTCCCAACACCTCACCAAGGTAATTTGTCCACTTAAGTGATATCCCTGTTGATTTTAGGCCTTTTCATACAGGTATTTTTTACTCAATGAAGTTTGATTTGAGTTATGACAATTGAGTGAATATCACAGCGGTTATGGGAGAAAATCTTTTTACATAAAAAGAAGTAGGTAATTTCAGAAGAAACATTTTCTACATAGTTTCCATACATTACAAACAAAATCAGGTGAGTACTTGAGAAATTAAAGTATATCATGTGTTTGTTGCATTGAAGGCTTAGCAAAGAAACATTATTTCTGAAGCGAAAACAGAAACAAAAGAAAGGCCTTTATAAAAGGCAATGTTGAAGGAACCTGAGTAAAAAATATGTTGTCTCTGTTTGAGAATATGCTGCTTTTGAAGTCTCCAGGTCATGGACAATCCTTTATCATACAATGGACAGTGTTCTCGGCAGGATAAAGCCAACAGATATTTTCGGTATCTGTTGGGGTCATACAGGCATCCCTTGCCTTAACGCGGTTCTTGGGGTCCATGGATGACCCCCCGCGTTATTAGACACCCGCGTTATAGTAACAATTACATAACGCGGAACAAAGGCCAAGTAAAATCGTATTTTCTATGGACATAACAAAACTGCTATTTCGTGTATTGTGCCCAGTCAAAACTATATCGTATTGTTGGAGGTGAAAAAAACCAAAACTTTGTAAATCAAAAATAGATGTATGTACATGAAACTTGTAATCAAACATCACAAGACATGATAATTCAATTGTTGTTCCTGTCATGCTACCTGTTATTCAACTAAGCCGGAAATAGCAATCAACTGGGCACACATCGATGTTTTGGTCCAATGTACCGGTGATTCAGTTAAAAACTATCCGAAAATATAACATCAAAGAATTTCTATTCCATTATTAGAATAATTTATATGTCAAGCAGTTATTCTAAAAGAGATCTTATATATTGCTATCATAGGAGACAGTTTGACAAGTCACTGCTGACTTCCCACTGTACGTGCCACTTTGATTGTAAAAACAAAATGTTGGCAATTAATTGTCAAATATGACTATAATGAGTCAATAACGCGGGTCTAGGGGTCAATGGATGACAAGGCTGTAATCTGTTCGTGATTGCTGAGAAAAATGTGAAATTGGTGCTATCGCGGTAGGCGTGAAAAACGGACCCTCACGAATGTGGTAAGCGGGCGTTGTATGGAATGAGGTAATGCCATTTCACTCACGGTTTCTCCGTTGTTATTGTCAGTTTTAATGAATGAAAATGGGATTGAATTTAATCAAATAAAATGTGTTTTCTGACATCATACATTCTCGGATGGCGGTGTTTACCCGCGCAATTACGCGGTGTGTAGCATCATAGCAAACGTTGTACTCGTCTTTAGGATAAAGTAATTAGGGTGTTTCGCTGTTCATATATTATTATTGAAAAAAAACCTGCATGTTTTAAGCATCTGAAAAACCATGGACATGTACGATAAACACTGTTAATTGCAATCCGCACTGAATTTCACTAGTTTACAACGTGATTAACCAGAGCTCAAGAGCGGATTTGTTGATGTGATATTTTCGATGACGTAAATATGTGTGATCGCTGGGCAACTTTTTTTGTGGGAGCCACGGATTACCCTGCGGTTTAACCGAATCCGCGGTATCGCGAAGAGCGTTATTGCGCGAGGGATGACTATATGGATATCGATGCAAATTAGAGGGATCATATGCAAATTTTAGGGACTACTTCCACAGTTTAAACAAACATGGCATAGTAGTTACGGTACTGTCAGTGCTTTGATCCAAGAAATAGAAATTCGTAGGGTTATGAAGATACCAACACCAGTTCCCCAACCGACTGGTAGTGTTAGCAAGCAGAACATGTCATGCGAATGTTAAAGTGTATTTGTTGTTTAAAAGGTTAATTGAAGGTTTCTGAAGGTTGATGCACATGAAGGAGACCAACTAGCTTTGCGAGGGAAAAATTAGGTCTGCGTCATGTGCATTTGACCAGTAGTGTTAAGTCAGTATTAATTGTTTTTTCGGATAATTCGGATTATATGCCTGGGTGAACAGCTCATTAGGTCTATCAGTCTATCTTGGTACATACAAAATTAAATCGGATATATATTTTTATACGTTTATTGACATACATACAGCTCTGTATGATTCAGATGTTACATAACAAATGGAAGCAAGCACAACGTAAGGTTGAAAGAAGCAGAATCTGCAAAGTCAATGAGGGTGATTTTGTCGTGTAGATGCCGTTTAGAGCTAAAACGGTCTCGTCCAATCGGACATATTTCCTTCTGTTTGAGGGTGGTTTGCCTCCAGCTGCATATTGTTTCAATCTCGACTCAGTGGACATTTGTATTGACATAAGGAATGTGATGGTTAAGCCTTTCTAGGGATTGTGTCCAGGCGACTATGGTATTCTTCCAGGTTGGTCCGTGGCTAGATGATTTGGTGGTGGTTCCACTGGTGGGTGTGTAGATCACCATCTCTCCACTGGATCTCTTAAGTAGTATTCCAATGATCACTTTTCATATTATTATGATTAAGTGTCAAGTGTCATTTTGAACAAGGTTCAATATGGGTGAACACCTACTCATATAGGTGATTCCTGATTGATCAGTATTCACTAAGTTAATTGGTCAATCAAGAAATCTCATCTTTAAAACTCTAAACAAACACCAATCGTTTGCAAGACCAGATCGATGAGCATCAAAGGGAAAAAGAGGTCTGACTGATGTGCATAGTTTGAAACCTAAAGGTCTGCGTCGTGTGCAGACACCGTTTCTGAATGTCCACAGAAGTTTGTTGTTATTTTTCAAATGTAAGATGTTTCGAGATGTTTCGACAACAATACATTTTTTTTTTTTACATAAATCAGGGTTCGAAATCTTCGCTAGTCCGCTAGCCCAAGGCTAGTAAATCTCCCGGAGGACTACCAAAACATCTAACTGTAGTAGTACGCTGGGCTAATACAATTTTCTGCTTAACCCATTCAACACCGTAGGCCGGAAAAGCGGCCAAGACGTCACGAGTCCCCAAATTCTCAGACACATGCTTCGGCAACGGGTCCACATCAAAGTTGTCAAAGAGCAAAGTAACGATGTTTCGAGATAACCTAGCATGATACATCCACTAAGGTCCATAATATACATATAGTTAGTGATCTTGTGCGTAACACGTTCAGAATAGCATGATTTTACCCAAAACTTTCGTCTGACGAGGACGGTATCCATTGCTGTAATATGATTGGCTGCCTTAGGTCACGTGTGTGATTTTGACCAATCACGATCCTTGTAGCAGATTGTGACAGAAAAGCGTCACTAGAAACCAGTCTTTATCCAATAAAATCGCTTCTTACAACTGTGAAAATACTCTTGGCAAGGGTACAGTGATATTGTTCAGAGCTTTCGAACGATACCAGCCATCAAGTGAATCACCTCACATGTTTTTCATACGAAGCTTCGAAAACGGAGGTATTTCCCACTGTTGTATCACGTTACCGAGCGGAAAGCCACTGGTATCGGGAAATAGACAACCATACATATTAGTTGAGAAATCTGTTAGTTAGAAATAATAGTTTTCCGTTTACGTAAACATGAAAATATAAAAAAAACGTAAGGGGATAGTTATGACGTGTTACAAATGGAAAAAATCGCCGCATTTTTTGCTCCCTTCATGATTTATCTGGACATTATAAATATGTAAGCTTGCATTTTCATTAAATATTAACTTATTTATGTTGTAGTTGTATTATTTGAATAATATGATCATATCCATCTGTCATGACTGAATTAAACTATGCCAAAACATAGTTCGTTTGTTTGTTATGATACCACACCTCTGCCAATACTGCTTGACAAAGTTAAGTTAATTTTTTGGTTTATTAAAGATTGAAATTTGAGGACTACCAAAATTGTGTGAGGACTAGTAGACATTTCAAAGAGATTTCTAACCCTGTAAATACTTACTGGGGACTAAATGACCTAATGCAATCAACTAATTGATCTGTAGAATATTGTGTCACCGAGCTTGTGACATTATACAATTATAAACTCTTGTAGAGGTCGATATCGGTTTTTATTGACCTGAGTAAAAACAATATCGACCGAGCTTGCGAGGTCGATATTGTTTTTCTCAGGTCAATAAACCGATATCGACTTCTACAAGAGTCTATAATTGTTTTATTATATAATGAAAAGAGAAACGGGTTTTAACATAAGCTTTTAATGCACACACTGTGCCATCTATCCGAGTGATCTGATAGGTTGAAAAGCGGGGGAAGCCCCTTTGTACGGGATTCCTTGTCTATTTTTAGTAACCCAAGTCAATATCGTAATTTATCAGAAAACTCAAGTCAATATCGTGTTTTGTAGTCAATCATGTGACGGTCTTTTGACCAATCGTGGTACAGGAAAAATACTAGCTATATAATAATATACAGTTATAGACTCTTTTAGAGGTCGATATCGGATATTATATAGACAAAGAGAAACAGGGTTTAACATAAAGTTTTAATGCACACACTGTGTCATCTCCGGTATACAGTTCATCATTACGTAACACATCTTCACAATCAAAATATTTCTTTAAATGTACCAGAAACATCAAAGACAACTTTTAAATAACAAAACTTTAAAGAGACGATATCAGTCTGAATATACAGATGATTGTTCATCTAGCTACTTTATTACTGCTTAGAGTTGAAGTTATAATTGATGGTCACATTACAGTTATTAATAACTGGTCCTGGCATCTGAATCATCAGTCTATTTGTCATGCTGTGATTAAGTACATGCATATTGTTATCAGAAACAGAAACAGATGACTCAGGTACAGGGAGAGTTTTGAGGATTTCATCAAACTCACAGTCAGTCAAAAAATTTGTTAGGTCATGATCACCGAGGATAGGCAAAGAGTTTCCTTCTCCCTAGTAGGTTGAGCACAGGTCATATCACTGATGGCGAGTGGACATCATCTTCTTGATCTCTGTCATCAGTGAAACCAGTGTAAGTTTTCAGACTGGTTTCTGCTTT